ATATATAAGAAATTATAATAACAGCTTCTGTGGGAAGATATACATGCACTTTAAAACACAGGACAAAGAGAGCATGACACTTGATTAAAAGCAAAAAAGGTATACTCAGCCTATGCACAGGACTGCAAACCAGTTAATATTTAAAACACTGAAGATATGCCATTTTGATACATGGGTAAGACTGCATGTTGAAAAATTTTTTCAAATGCTATGGAACAAGAATACAACTTTAGGTACTTGGGCTAGAAAGGCATTTTGGAATTTAAGTGTTTACTTTCTGTAGAAGATTTCAAGTGATTAAAATCTTGCTTCTTATTTTCAAGTTCTGCATCTTCTAAAGCTTATAAAAATGATCTTTTTGGAAATACAAAAGCCAAGTTAAGAAACAAAGAACAAAGAAACTTCTCTCCATTTGAGAATGTTTCAGAGGGTCATACATTAAGAGGAAAAATACACTCCTGAAGAGTTCAGAAAGCAGAAATAATTAGCATACATTCTAGTCAGCAGAATGTGATTCAACAAGTTTCTCCTCTTTGCAAGATCCTTTCCTGCAAATGAATGGTCTCTGAAGAGTTTCAGCTACAGTTTATCACATACTCACTGTGTGCCAGGTGAGTTTGTAACTTTACATATACATGTGTAGTAAATTTTTTTTTCACTGTATTTATCCTCTTTTTGTTCTTAAACTTTTCCTGCTTTTTAACAAAATATGGTAAAGATGAAATTAAAAAAAATTCAGGGTGTAATGGCAGAAACTAGAAAATTAAAGAAGGGACATTTCCTACGTATGTTATTCAGTATGTAACACTCTCATAGCAGCATAGGACAGGCATTATCATCTCCTCCTATCCACAGAAACCTGAGGTGCAGGAATGGGGATGCAGCTTAGTGGGAGTACACTTGTGTGCTCCGAGAGAGGCCCTTTTTGTGGATCCTCAGCACAGCAAAAGAAGCCAGCAACAACTAAAAAAGCCCTTTCAAGTTCAGAGAATCAAAGCAACTTTGTCAACATTATAAAATAAAAAGAGGCAGAGGCTAGATAAAACTCACCATCTGCTTGATTAGGAAATCTGCTTTCTACTACAATATCTTCCTTTCAGATGGTGATAGGGCAGTTAAAAACAAATCTGGTCAATAAAAATGTAACTGACAGAATAAACTACGTTTTAAATTTAACATACTAAGCAATATATTTGATAAGTAAACATTTAATTTTATAAGTAAAACATTTAATTTCTTCAAAAAGAAAATCATCTTTCTTATTAAATTAGGTTGTAATCTTGGCCCTTATGTGTGATTTGGGGTGAGTTTCTGATGTCTTTGAGAGTTTCAAGTTATTTTACCATGTACACACATTAATGACTAAGATGTTAAAACTAACAATGCCATTCTTCATATCTGGAAGTCCTGCACCTCTAACAGAATGACACTGAGGCTGTAAAGGATGCTACCAAATATGCCGCAAAAGCTTCCATTAAAAAAAAAAAAAATTAAGCCAGGCATGGTGGCACATGCCTGTAATGCCAGCACTCCGGGAGGCTGAGGCAGGAGGATCGCTGTGAGTTCCAGGCCAGCCTGGGCTACATAGTGAGTTCTAGATCAGTCTCAACTACATAGTGAGACCTTGTCTCAAGACAAACAAACAAACAAAAAATTACTAGGGGAGAAAATCTGACTTCAATCTCTACCCTATCTTCAAAGCAGGGTTAGTTCTATCTATCCTATGTCGCCAGACAATATAAGTAATTTGCTGAATGCTTAATTCATGGTAAATATTCTGAAGGCAATGATAATGTCTATACATTTTAATTCTCAGCACCCACACACCATTCTACCATTGTTGCTTCAAAAGTCCATTATGTCTACTATTTCAACCTGTCTAGAAGAGCAAGTGGAAAATCTTGTGCTTACAAATATTACTTCTTATCAGGAGAATATGCTCACAATTTTTTTTTTTTTTTTTTTGGTACCGGGGGATTGAACTCGGGTCCTTGCACTTACAAGGCAGGCCACCGAACTGCTGAGCTAAATCCCCGGCCCTCTCACAATACTTTTTAGTATTATATTGAGCCTGGCCAGTTTTCAAGGCGTAAGTATATAGAACTTTAGCCCTAAAAGGAACTTCAGATTTCCCTCTAGATAATTCAGTGATGAGGGGCTATACAAACAGTACCTGAGCAGAACTGGGCAGATTTGGTAGACCATTCCTTCTAAGCTTACTGACCTTGCTGTTCTAACAATGTTTAAAACACCTTCACTGCCCATTCATTCACAAATAGAAGTTATCTTTCAGTTGCTCTGTGAAGAACAAGATTATCAATGCTTTGCAGGCTGAATAACCCTGCCTATTGTTTTTATAGTATGAGCAGTAGATACTAACGTTTCACTTTCATTAGTAAAGGGAAAAATTTTATAGATAATTATATATTTTATAGATATATTTTATAGATATTTTATGTATTATATATACACATATATGTATGTATAATGTATATTATGCATACATACAAATATTTTATAGATAATTATATATTTTATAGATATTTTATGTATTATATATACACATATATGTATGTATAATGTATATTATGCATACATACAAATATTTTATAGATAATTATATATTTTATAGATATTTTATGTATTATATATACACATATATGTATGTATAATGTATATTATGTATATATATACATATATTTTATTGATAATTAAAGTGAAAGGAAAAGCAGCAAACTACTGAAATCTAAACACTGTCAAATTTCTATTTTGAGAAAGTATGAAAGTATTCAAGTTATCATGAAAAAATTTACATACTCTTCATTTTTATATTCCATTTTTTATAATTCATAATGCATATTTTTTCAGGAAAAGCATTCAAACAGAAAACTACAACTTTAAATTCTTATTTGTTTTAGGGACTGAGAAGTCTAATCACAAATGTTCTCTGAAGTTATTTTGCTATTACTCATCAAAATATTCGTTCTTAAATTTTTTTTTATTTTCTTTTAAAACCCTGCGTATGAACATAGTATTTAATCTAAAATATATTATGCAAAACACAAGTTATAACCTTAGTTAACATTCAGTGTGTACTGAGGGAGCTAGAAAATACAGTATAGAAATAGGTGTGGCTTATGACATTTCCTAATGGTTCTCCAAGTTTCCCAAGAGTTCAGTGGCTCTTTTTTTCCTGGACACCTGGGACAGCACAGAGAAGAGCTCAAGTAGACATGCTACTCTGATTAGGAATGCAGAGATGCTGGTAATGTCCAGGGTCTGTCCATTTTAATTTTTTGTTCTAAAAACACAAGAACTGTGAAACACTAAGAGTGTACTGCTTCTTAAAACTAATGTCAGGCTATGAAGGAATGAGATAAAGTTTTCATTTACTAATATTTTTTCAACCTATATAGTTCAGTATTAATATGTAATTTAACTTTTATTATTTCCATAGAATTATAGTAATAAATTATAAGAAAATTGCACTGTTACATGTTTTAGCGGTTGTCAGTTTTAATGATTTCTGTTGATCTAAGAGAAATCATCTGTTATGCTGTTGAACCACCTACCCTTGCATAGCATACAACTGTTAAAATGTAAATTACCCAACTATTTTTAGCTGCTGCTGAAAAAAATTCCTGTCCTCCAGAATAATGATTTGAGGCATTGTGTTCATTTTGTTTATCAAGCATCTATTCAGCCTCTAGTGGGCACAAGTGCTTATGTAAGCAAAAGCTTTTAAGAATGCCTGCAGCTGCGATCCAACCTTCCAGGTAGGCTGCAGGTTCAGCGCACAGCTGCCCCAGACTGCATTAAACTCAGATCCATCTGGAATTGAGCTTCAAAGAGGATTTCAAATTTGACTTTTCATGTATCACACAGAAGGGAAGGCTGGGGAAGAATATAGGAAAGAAGGAAGGCAAACAATAAAAAAGATGATATCTCTACTTTAGCCTTAATACAAAATAAAAAGCTCAGATCCATGCTGCACCTTCTAAATTACTATTTGCCAAGCTGGATATTCCATTCAGTCTATACTTGGATGAGCTGTGGAGTCACCCAGCAGCACCTGCGCCCAGGAGTTAAGTGTGGCCAAATAAAAGCCCAACACCCATTTACACAACAAAGAGATGTGCCTCACAAGGCATAAGGGCCTCACTCCAGCAGCCTCACTCCTCACTTGTTGGGGCGGGGGAGCTTCTTCTTTCTCTGTACCAGAGATTTTTTAAATCATAGGTGGATTTATGATACAGGCTCATTTACAAATAATTTTACTTCTTCAAAAGCATATTTAATAGCACAAACTCCCCTATAATATTAGATTATCACAGCCATTAATGATTGTTCTACCAAACCTTTTCATCAAAGCCCTTTATTCTCAAGGGATATATTTTTAAGCAAAGAGATCAACAAACTAGTTGCTTGAAAGCTTTCCCAATGCTAGGCTGAAGTTAGGAAAGGCTTAATGAAGGCTTTAAAATCCACAAGGGCTTCACAATGAACATCTGACTCGATGATTTATGCATATTAATAACCCCAGTCCTACTGAGGCGAGCTGAGCTGAACATGTCCTCCGAATCTTAATGTCTTTAGCTCCATTGGGATTATTACAAATGTAAATTTCTAAGATTCTCAGCTATTAATCTCTGTCTGTCCTCCTGTTCAGCAACATAATGACTAATTAAACATCAAAAGACCTGTACAGGAGATCTTCTTTGACAGCTACTGGCCTAGTCTACTTCCCAAGAGGGGAATTCAAATGACAGAGACATGGAATAGAAGCATATGAGTAAGCTACAAATCATTGCAGAGAAATCCAAAAGCCTAACATTAAATGTGGATTTATCTCAATCAATGAGTTTGCTAAGCAGCAAAGAGTTATCATGTAAAGTATGCCCAATGGTACCAATTGCATATACCCTTGTAACAAGAAAATGCAGTATATTTATTTGAAATAAAATTATTTAACATCAAGTTTTAAAAAAAAAGGTACTTACAGAAGAAGGCAGACCAGGAGGCACCTTTCTGACTTTCTTTGCTTGCAATGGATCTACACATGGAAAATAATATAGTATTACATTAGGAAAAAATCTGACTCCAATGAATAGAAAGGAAATCTTCCCTTAGGTGCCTTTCTTTTCTTTCCAGTGGTCCAGAGTCACTGAAGGAATAGAGTAAGTCTCATTTCTTTTAAGTGGTACCATTGCAGAATAGGTTCTTCTAATAGAGTGACACAATGTGAAATATAAATCCCCTAAGTTTAGAAAGAAAACAGCAAGGGAAGCAAGAAAGAAAACAACAAACCACCTAGCATGTATGTAGGACAGGAATATTTCTTAAAAATCTGTTATGTGCCAGATGCAATACCAGGCACTTTATATCATTTATCTAAGTTGAGAGGTGGGGCTTGGTGCAACAGGTCGTGTAAATAATATACTTTTTTTTTGGTTTTTTGAGACAGGGTCTCACTATGTAGTTGAGACTGAACTGGAAGTCACTATGTAGCCCATGCTGGTCTCGAACTCATAGTGATCCTCCTGCCTCAACCTCCCAAGTGCTGGGATTATAGATGTGTGCTACTATGCCTGGCAATAATATACTTTTTAAATAGAGATCCAAATTTAGTGTCTGCATCAAATTGAGAACTAGGTTTAAAAGCATGTTTTAAAAAATAAAAACCTAAGGATATCCCTTGTTAAAAATCTAAAGTAAAATTTAAGGAATGAAAAATTAAGGTTATAATAATATCAATACATGCTACATAACTAAATGTAGGTATTGTCATAAATAATGACAGCCAATATTGAGTAAGAACATTTACTTTATAAGTCTGTGTTTATTTCCAGGCAATAGAATTAGAGAAAGTACATTTCTAAGACAAGATTTATCAGTATGAGTAAAAAATGAGTACTGTTATATACTTACACAGCCTCATATGATATTTTAAATTTATTCATTTGTAAAAATTTAAAACTCATACATCTTATTTTTTATAAAATACAGTGATAAGCACACTTTCCAGTCTTGCAAAAATAATAAATCAAATTCGGAGTTTGCAGAGGGGTTCACTATGAGGGAAAAGAGGACACAGAAGAAGGCTCATGTAAAGTCCAGTAATTTTGAAAAATGAAAACAAGGATTTAAACAAATGCACTATTTTCCTGGGCCATAAACAAGACTACACAATAAAGTATGCAATTTAAGAAAGAATAAAACTCATTTCATTTTGAGCTGGGAATTCTCTACAGTGGATATCCCAAGAGGCTCAAAGCTAAAAAAGCAACTTTAAAAGTATCACGTGGAAATTTTTATACAATAAAAAGAGGAAACAGCATTCATTAACAGCAGCTTATATTTCCTTAAAACAGACGTGCTGAAGATAACATCTGGAATACTCTATATTTGTAAAACTTAAAGGCAAAATCTTTGTTCTTCATGAAGTGTTTCTGGAGCCCAACTCCTCACAACCAATACTGCATTCCCTGAACAAAAGCTATACTTCACAAAGAAATCAACCAAACTACTCCTATCAATTTGGAGCGTATCACTCCATTTCCAGGTCATTAACAGAAAATGTTGCTGCTTAGTTTTTAGTTGCTACCAGTTTTTATTTGCCATGTGAATAAAATGTCTCTCATCATTAGCTACTACTGTATTAAATGTCTGATTTAAAATCAAGAGCCTGAGATTCATAGTTCACTTTCGGGAGACAGAAAAATGGTGGTAAGAGAGCAAGCTGTTGGGATTCAAGCTTCATCATCTCCCTATACAGCCCTGTGAGCTCAGGCAGGTAAGAAGTTCTGAGTTCAGTTCCCTCAAAAACACACAAAGCTTCACACCTTCTCTTCCATGTATGTCTCACACTGTGAAAATATATAAAAGATGCTCAGTATTGTGCCTAACAGCTCATTTAATAAATTTGGGGGGGAGGTGGAGAGGTTGAAGGGAGGGCAGGGGAATGGGGAAAAAATATGAATCCAGATATAATATGTAAAGGTAAAAATCTCCAATGATGAATGTTATTAAATTGCATACCAAAAATGTACCGATAAAATTAATTTAAAAAAACCCAAAACTTTTAGTCATTATTATTAGGCTTATAGAAAAAGTAGAGCAAAATGATTATAAAATAAAAACTGTTCCTGAAGAATGGTGATTTCTTAAAACATGTAAATGGTTTGAGAAGATGTTGAGATTGGTACGGATCTCTAAAATTCTTCTAAACTCTGAAATTTTTACAAATAACTGTAATGTCAAGAAGCACAGCTAAGCCAGAGAATTGCCAATGGACGGTGTATTAGTAATCCATTAAATGATATTCACTGGAGATGGGAAGGATTCCTTGGGCGCCAGGAGAATTATCATACTGTGTACTCACCCTTGGCTAAATTACTTAGCATCTCTGGGTCTTAACTCCTCATTTGTAACATGAAGTTAATAAGACAACCTCACAGAATTTTGGTAAAGATGTAGTATATATAACATATCCCTAGAAGGGAGAAGATAATCAACAGTACCTATGTCATAATCAAAATGAAGATGATATAAGCTGTAATTTACAGGAAAATTGAATTTTAACTCTGGATTTTATGAAATCTCTTTCATTCTTTCCTAGTTATTTCAATATTTAATTTTTTTCTTTTGAACTTTTAGTAATAGTATATTGGCCTGTATTAATGCTTTCTGTTACAGTATGTGTATACACAGAGTAAAACTGATACATCTAGACTCAAATGTAATGTCCCTGCCCTCACTCATTAGGTAGGAAAGTAGAAAGGAGTTAAAGAAATGTACAACTCATAATTTATTTAATAACAAAAAGTATCCTGGTTTAAAATCATCAGGACTGATTCTAACAGTACACATACTAAATCATCCATAATCCTCAAAGGGCTCTCTATGCTGAATGTGACAATATGTCACAAAGCCCTTTACAAATATCTCAAAGCATATCTACAATCAGAGACCCAGAAATACTGTATAGGTTTAACAGAAGCTACATAATTATAAATCTGTGGTAGTCAACAAATATTTGTGTAATGAATAACTATGGCATGCTTTAAGTAGATTTACACTTATTCTAGAGTCTGGTCTACCTTAAATATAGATACGCTTTACAACTTTAATTTTCTTGTACGAAGTATCTTTGGTAGAAATCATCAATAATTCTGATATTTAAACACAGACTGGATAAGGCATCAGAGAACACCAGTGGCTTCTTATAAACAGTAATGCAAAAGAGACTGGTTTAGTTAGGTTACACACAGATGTAAAATAAGGAAGCTAAAAAAGATATGGGCAAAAGAGAACAATTCAGCTTCCTATGTACAGGTTTCCTTCTGATGTGAGGTTGTGCAGCTGGATGGAACGACAGTTGTGCAATAATGTGTGACTCACACTACATGCTATTCAGCTCTATACCTTTGTGTGGCTCAGTTTATGCTATTTTGATTTTACCTCAACTTAAAGAAAAGTGAGGAATAGGAGCAACTCGTATGTAGGAAACACTGGACCTGGAGTGAAAAAAACTTGTTTTTTGTTTTTTGAGACAAGGTCTCACAGTGTAGTCCAGGCTAAACTTGGACTTACATAACCCAGGCTGACCTCACACTCAAGATTCTCCTGCCTCAGCCTCCCAAGTACTATAAAAATCTTAGATTTTATATCAGGTAAGGAACATACTCACTATATGAATATGTCTTTGCAGTCTCAGCTTTTCTTTTAAATTTGGGCTTATATCTACTGAATTAAAAGTGCTGTTTTACTACTGAAATGAAAATGTATACCAAACCACTTTGTAATATGTTTAGTATTATTTCAATTTTAGTTAAAACCAAAGTGTTAATATTGAAACATGAAATTTTAATTATAAGAAAAACTGCTTAAGTCCTATTTTTTAAATTATTTACTTCCTCATATGGAAGACGAAAGTATTAAATTGGCTGTTTGAAACCTGTTAAAATTATGGCTTGACAAACAAATCATCATCCAAAATTACTTATAGATAAACCTTTAATATAAAACACTGCCATCATGGAGGGACATCCTGTAATCCTAGCTACACAAGAGGTTGAAGCAGGAGGACTTCAGGTTTGAGGCTAGCCTGAGTAACTTAGTGAGACCTTGTCTAAAAATTAAAAAATGAAGGGGCTGGGGATTTAGCTCAGTGATTCTGCTGCCTGACTCGCAAGCGCAAGGTCCTAAGTTCCATCCCCAGTACCATAAATAAATAAATAAATAAATAAATAAATAAATATTAAAAAATGAAAAGGACTGGGGATG